AGCAGGAGCCCAAATGCAATTGCTCGAGAAAAGTAAAGAAATAGGGCTGCAATGAAGGAGAGAGCTGTTGAATGGAGTTAGACTGCCAAAAGGCCTCTTGCAAGGTACATTTACGAGAAGATATTAAGGCTATTAAGCCTAAGCTCAGATGGCATTGGTGGGTCACTGCCCATCTTTCCTCTTGCATTTTGGAATTGTTTTCTGGCTCCTGTAAGAGGCCAGCCTTCTGTTTCCAAGCGCATTTTTCCTGACCTTGCAGAACCCCTCCAAGCTGCCCATTTGCAGCTCTGCAGGTGACATTCACCTCCCTCCTGCCCATGGAGGGTTTGCTGGCTGGCGGTGGGCAGCACTGGAATGTCTCCCTGGCTGGGAATGGTTCTGCCCTTGCAAAATGGGTGATGCCAAGCCCTGGGGGTGGCACTTGACTCCCAGGAGCTGAAGCTGCAAGCCGGGCTCAGACGAAGCAATTCACTGCTTTTTTGCGGCCATCAGAACCCGTGGCAGTGGCCGCTTGAGTTGGAGGACCAGCTGCAAGCATGAGAAGCCCAGCAGAGGAGTGGTGGCTCAGGAGACTCCCTAGGAGGCAGGGGACAGGGCGAGATGTGTGCCTTATCCTGGTTAACAGCATGGGTTATTGTGCCCCATCACCCATGCTGCCTTTGATATTTCACAAGCTCACTTAGTCATTTGGGGAAACAAACGCTGTTATTGTTCTCCAGGCGCACAGCTAACGTGCTCCTCCTTTCCACTTGCACCTTGCCCTGTTGGGGCAAGTAAATTCCCTTTCTTGCAGGGACACAGGCTGGAGGCAGGGAGGGGCACCCCATTTCCAGTGGGTCCACGGGGAAAGAAGCCATCAGGCAAAAGGGCTTTGCAGGAGGCAGAGCGCCAGGGCCAGCATCCCATCAGGGCAGCACAAGTCTTTGGGGCTGCTGGGCGGCTCCCTGCCGGGGTGGCTGCGTGCATGGGCTCGGCAGAAAAGCCAGCCGGGCTGGGAAACACTGGGAAGAGGCGGGGATGTTGCTTCACTGTCTCAAGGCAGAATTCAAGTTTACAACCCCTGGCACGTCACCAGAGGTCTGTCATTCACATGGCAGCTGGGACAGCGATGGATCACGAGTCACTCTGCCGTTGCGCTCACCCTTCTCTTTGCAAGACAGAAGTGGCAGGCTGAACATCTGTGCCCACGTGGAGAGGGCACAGGGAGCCCGTGGCAAGCAGTGGGCATGGCAAGCCAGTAAGCGGCCTCCCCGTAGGGGTTGAGGCACTTGGCTTCAAGCCGGGGGGGGGGCCGCGGGGGGAACCCAACAGAAAGAAACACTAAAACAGGCAAAATGCAAGGGGGCCCGGCTGGGGAGGGGGCGCTTATGGAAGGCCACAGTCCTTGGCTGCCATAGCAGGAGGGCAGCAAGGAAAGCCTGTCATTGCGCAGCCTGATGCAGCAGATCTTGTTTGTGGCGCTTCAGGGGTTTGCTGCACGCAGCTGCGCAAAGTTCGATCCAGACTTGAGAGTCTTGGGGCCTGGGCTCATCAGCGCACCTGCCCAGAAGTGCCAGAGCCCTGTTGTGAAGAGTGAAGTATTTCTGTGGATCAACAACCTGAGGAGGAGGCAGGAAGCTGGGAAGAAGGTTCAAAGATCGATTTTCATTCTGGCAGAAGGTTAAGGGTAGGGAATATGAATGCTGCCTCCAAGGTCCCGGACAACTCAGTATATGAACTGATGATCTGGAAACAAAGATGAGCAATATACCAAACATTTTAAAAAGATGACTCAAAGCTATTGACTCTTGAGGAGATCAGAAAGGACTGTAAGTAAAATGCAAATGTGGCAAGCAGGCAACAACATGAATTTGCCAAGGCTTAACTGGGCACATGCAAGGGTCAGAAAAGAGAAAACAAATTGCACCTAAGAACCACAAAGCTCCAGACAGTCTCTAGCAACTGAAGAAAGGATCTGGATGTCACACAAATCCTGGCTCTGTGAGTAGCTGCAGGTTAAAAAAAAAAAAAAAAAAAAAAAAAAACACCCAAAAATTAACAAAGACAA